ACTTAATATTATTCTGACTTATAAAGTTATATAATCTTTAAGTTTAAACTTGGTACATTCATACAACAGCGAGGGACGAATTAATATTTTCAAAATAAGTTATGCCACTTAAAGGTTTAAAACTCATGATTACTTATTACGAAATGATGGGAATAACATACACGGGATTTATATGGAGTGGCAAACAATCTGTCATTTGGAGACTTATGAAGACGTTATGGCACATTACTATTGTCTTAACCATTGGTTACCAATATTGGTTTGACAGTTACAACATCATTTCCAAGGCTGAAATTCTGGGCATAAATCCCATCAAACATCAATTGATTTACATTTTATACCTGATCGGAGAGTTTGGTTATTTGTTTCAGACATTGTCTTTGGTCTTATTTGCAACAATTAAAGGCAAACAAATTGTAAGCCATTTGGATTCATATCATTTTCTATACATTGGAAAGAAAACTGAGTTTAAAATTGGTTTACTGATGGCTATAATTGTGTTTTTATATTCATTAATTACTGAACTATTTTTTAGTGTAATGCATTATACCATTTGGATTCATATCATTTTCTATACATTGGAAAGAAAACTGAGTTTAAAATTGGTTTACTGATGGCTATAATTGGGTTTTTATATTCATTAATTACTGAACTATTTTTTAGTGTAATGCATTATATGTTTGTTATAGACCAAACAAAATTGGATTTCACAAAGTACATTTTGCCTTGTTTGATGTATGTAGTATCAGGCAACATTCAGGCCAGTATAATTGCAATCGTTGCTTATAATTGTTTTATAATTAACAAACAATATGATCATATAATAAATAATTTCCAAAAATTTAAAATAAATCAAATTTTTGAATTCATAACAAAAACCTTTAATTTTGTGAAACAATTTGACCAAATTATATGCGTTTATATAGGCATGACTTTGATTATAAAAACTTTCAGATGTATAGCAATGTTATGCATTTTATTCACAGGTCCGCATAAAAGTATAGCCGTATCCCTGCCCTCAATGTTTGAAAGTTTTGTACCAATGATTTGTTTGTGTTTTGTTTGCAATACTATCACCAAATCATTTGACCATTTGGTGCATAAAATTGTTATGACTTCTAATGAGATTCGTCTCAACAGTACATTAACTCAACATTTGTTTTATGATCTCAATTATATTAAGAAACATTTTGGATTCACTGCATTTAATTTGTATAAAATCAATATTAAAACTTTAATCTCGTTAATGGCATTCATTTTGTCGTATTCTGTAATACTTATACAAACAAATCTCAATCATTAAATGTTGTTTACTAAAATTATTAATATGAATTAACAGTAGTTATACCTTAATATAATTTAACTATGTAATTGTATTTTAATTGTCTTTAATTGTCCTTTTATTTAGTATATAAATACTATTCTGTACTTATATCTGTACAATAAATTATTTAAAAAACTTTTGCAATTATAATTTGATAAGTACAATCAAAGTTTTATATTGTGAATTATTCTGGTATATTATTAGTTTAAGATTAAAAATGTCTATCTAAGTAATAAACAAATGTTATTTGAATTTAAGTAAATAAAGTAACAATAATTTCATGTTTAATGTTTGTAAAATAATATTTACATAATAAAGTTGTGCGTCCAAAAAAATAAAACAATTCTTTGTATTAATATTTTAAATTAAATCTTTTTTTGTGTCTTTGGGTTTCAAATAAAGTTTGTGTAATGTTTTGAACAGTATTATCTATTTATAAGATTTTATAAAATCATTGTTTTAATGTGTATAAACTAATAAACTGAATATAATATGACTGAACATTCATTGAAAGGCTTAAGATATTTAGTAAATTATCACAAAATATTTGGGAACATATATATATCGTATGGTTTCGATGAAAATGAATCATTAATATCAAAAATAATTCAAATTGTTTGGAATATTCTTATAGTAATTCTAACTAACTATCAATCAATTCGTGTTATCCATTATATGGCCAATAGGGTTGAAGAATTGGGTATAAGTTTTGCAAAAAATAAATTATTATTTATTTTATATATCTGTGAAGAATCAGGATATATTATACAAACAATAATTGTATCCATTATTCTATTAATTAAACGAAAGAAAATTCTGACTCTTTTGAAAACTCAATCATTTGCTTATATCGATGCTAATTATGAATTCAAAGTCGGTTTATTCATAACTATTTTAACATTTATTATATGTTTTGTGGTCGAGTGCTTATATATGATTTATCATATAATTGTTTTATTAACCAAAAGAAGTGAGTTTCATTTTTACAAAATAATTATCTCTCAGATTGTCTATTTTGTTTCAAATAATATTCAAATATCTGTTATCTCATTCATTGCATACCAGAGTTGTATTATTTCCAAACAATTTAAATATATTGAAAACAATTTGTCACGTTTAGACCTCAAAGTGGTCTATCATTTCGCTGCGAAAACTAATTGCTTTATAAGAGAGTTTGATAAATGTATTTCATTTATCATATTCATGACAATTATTTTAACTACAATCAGAGGTATATCGATATTATGCTTACTTTTTGTTGGCTCCCGAGAATCAAAAGCCTTATTTATAGTTTTATTTTTTGAAAATGCAATCGTTATTCTGTTTTTAACTATTGTTTGCAATATTATTCCCAAATCATTTGACCAGCTTTTACACAAAATTGTAACCCATTTATCAGAATTAATGCCCAAAAACATACAACAAAGTGCTAATAATCATAGAAATAATGACAATTCAATTGTAATGAACTTAAATTACATCAAAACTGAGATGGGATTCACAGCACTTGGCATTTATAAGATTGACATCAAAACATTAATCTCTTTAATTTCATTAATATTGTCATATTCTGTAATATTAATTCAAACTAACAGTATGNAATCTCTTTAATTTCATTAATATTGTCATATTCTGTAATATTAATTCAAACTAACAGTATGTAATTGTATGAGTGTTAAAATTATTTATGTTTAGAAAAATATTTGAAATAATTTTTGTTCTTATGTATTTATTAAATACATTTGTATATTAAATATCAGTAATTTTTCATTATCTAAATGTAATGCAAAACTATTTTATACATAGTTTTGTTAGAAATTTGTATATTATTAAAACTGTATTTCATTATACAACATTTAATCAATAAATTAATCAATAAAAGGTTTAACATAAATAAATCAAGGAATAAATTAATTATTTTATGCTTATTATTTAAATATTTATTTAGAAATATTAATAATAATATTATTTGTGCTTTATATTGATAATATAAAACTGCTGTATACATTAGCAAAACATTATAGATTAAATAATAGTTATAAAATATACTCTGTATACTAATATTGATGAAAATTTTATAAAATTTAATGTAAAGAATCTAACATGTAACTCTTAGATTCTAAGATATAATTTTATTGTATAAAAATATAGACAATAAAATCTGTATAGTAGTAATAAAGTGAAAGTGTAAAATGACTGAACGCCCATTAAAAGGTTTAGGATTCTTAATAAATTATCACAGAATATCTGGAAATATATATTTATCCTATGGTTTCAATGAAAATGAATCACTCATAAGAAAAGTAATTCAAATTGTGTGGAGTTTTCTAATAATCGCTTTGACTAACTATCAATCTATACGTGAAATCTATTACTTGCCTCAAACCATTGAAGAACTTGGTATAAGTTTTACTAAAAATAAATTACTATATATTTTATATATATGTGAGGAATCGGGATATATTATACTATCTGTAATTGTATCCATTATTCTGTTATTTAAACGAAAAAAAATTCTTACTCTTTTGAAAACTCAATCATTTGTTTATATCGATGCTAACTATGAATTCAAAGTCGGATTATACACAACTGTTTTGACATTTTTAATATGTTTTCTGATTGAGTGCTTATTTATGGCTTTTAATGTGATTTTCATATTAAGTAAATCTGATTTAGATTTTTATCGTATATTTGTACCACCATTCACTTATTTTGTTTCAAATAACATTCAAATATCTGTCATTTCATTGATTGCATACCAGAGCTGTATTATTTCCAAACAATTCAAATATATCGCAAACAATTTGTCTCATTTAGACCTTAAAGTGGTCTATCATTTCGCGGCCAAAACTAATTGTTTTATAAGAGAGTTTGATAATTGTATTTCATTTATAATATTCATGACAATTATATTAACTACAATCAAAGGTATATCGATTTTATGTTTACTTTTTGTTGGTACACTGGAAACTCGCGTATTGTTTACGGCATTATTTTTTGAAAATACATCTATTATTCTGTATTTGACTATTGCCTGTAATATTATTCCCAAATCATTTGACCAGCTTTTGCACAAAGTTGTGACACATTTATCAGAATTAATGCCCAAAAACATACAACAAAGTGCTAATAATCATAGAAATAACGACAATTCAATTGTAATGAACTTAAATTACATCAAAACTGAGATGGGATTCACAGCACTTGGCATTTATAAGATTGATATCAAAACATTCATTTCTTTAATATCATTAGTATTGTCATATTCTGTAATATTAATTCAAACAAGCAGTATCTAATCGTATGAAACTGTTTATCAAACTGTTCAATTGAATTTAGTTTCAATTATTTCATCATTCTTGATAGAATTTACAGTAACTGTACAGGCACAAATTAACTTATAATTTTATAAGTTATAAATACATGTTTACAGATGTTTTAAAGATTACTGTCAATTTTGTCCTTAACTAACTATATCTTATCTAAACTATAAATACTGTTGAATACTATGACACTAGTTATTATAGTATAAAAGTCCTTAATTCAGATGTACTCATATTTTGCATAACTTTTCCAAGTTTTTACAAATATATAAAACTGACAAAAATATGAGACAATCATTAAGTCAGTGATTGGTGTCAAATAAAAGCCTTTGGATCCGTAAAACTGATCCAAAATGTCAGTCACATTGAAAAGAGAGGCCATCTTTACGGCCAAAGCACCCACACCTATGATGGCGTACTCGCAGGCCATACGTGCCGGTGATTATGTGTTCGTGAAGGGACAGGTGTCCACCGATATCACCACCAATGAGCTCATACTGGAACCGCTCGAAACCCAATACGAACAGACATTCAACAACGTGTTGGCCATTGCGGTGGGCGCCGGCGGTTCAGTGGACGACATCGTAAAGCTGGACATCTTTGTCAAAGACTTGGACTCCTTTCCCATTATCAATAAAGTGATGGAAAGGCTGTTCCCGAAGCCATACCCGGCCCGCAC